GACCCCCCTCCCCCGAGCATGTATTTAAAAAATGCCTCAGAGGAATAGGGTGGAGAGTGTGTGGGGGGGCGTGTGTGTGTGAGGTTTCACAGTGCGGGACCAGTTGTCAGACTGGGTGTTTTTCTGCCATACTGGGCCACTTGTGCAAGCTCCTCGCTGAACTTGACATTTGTTTTATTTTGTCGGGTTTGTGTCAGTGCAACGTTTCCTGTTGGGTTCCTTCCACTGTTGTAGCACTGAGATGCGTTCAGTCGCTGCTCCCAGATAAACAACTAGCTGCTCCTTACTACTGTATCAGTCTGGTGTCTCCTGGGGGGGTCGGTCTGAGCTGGGACTTCCTGTCAGTGGCGTGGTGCTGGTTGAGGGGTGGAGGTGTTGTGCTCCTCCGTGAGTTTGTCTTCCTGCTCTTGTCATGTTTGGGGAATGTGGAGCGATGGGAACACCCAGAGGCGGGGGCCGCTAACGCTTCCTGCCCCCCACTCCCGCCTCCTCTTTAGACCTTTTATTCCTCGGCAGTCGCTCGGTTTTCACTCGGACAGCTGTTCTGTCTCCTCAGTTTAACACTGCTCTGTGGAGTGTTGGTGTGTTTGTCTTTACCCAGCTGTGGCCCCCGGGGCCCCGGACCCCTGGCCCCAGCAGTAATATATGACGAGACATTAGCTTAGTTTGGAGGCTGGTTATTCACATGTGTGCGTCCTGGCCCGGTGATTCTACTTCCTCTTCCTGCTCCTTCTTTCATTTGTCTCCTTCTTGTGTGGTTTATTTTTTTCCACTCCTTCGCTGCTTCCATCCCTCTGGCCTCTGACTTGTCGTCCTCTTGTGCTGCTGCTCTTCACTCTCTGACTGATCACAGATCAGTTTCCATCATCCAACAGAGGATTCTGGGAAGTCAGGTCCATTAGTGGACACTGCGTCCCCCAGGACGTTCTGAGTGCTGTAATGGCTCCTGCTGCTGATGGAACTCTTTATTTCCTGCCTCCATTAGCTCCAGTCATCTGAACCAGCCAACCAATAGGAGCTCAGCGTGGCTGCTCCCAGCACAGCACCAGACATTAGTCCTGTTCGAGATACAATGTGCCTGGTGAGCAGACGAGAGTAGGGGTGGAGACAAAAGGCCTCTGTCAAGACAGACAGTTCAGGGGCCTTCCACCGGCCTTCAGTCTGTACAGGAAGTCACAGAAACGCACCTCCTGTTAGGTCTGATCTCGATTTAATAACATGTCAACAGACCAAACCGTTTAGCTTCTCCTCAGGGTCCAAACAGCTGCTGGTCTGTACGACAAGGAGAGTGAGAACGTACTGTGACTCACATACTGTGTCTGGGCTGCGTTTCTCATACGAGGCATCATCAGATTAGCGCTGCTGTATCTAAGCTGACCAGGCTCGGTTTGATATATATCAGTACATTTTTTCCACGTAGGCTTCAAATTTACCTTATAAACAGTCAGAACATACAGTGGTCAGTTTATTAGGAACACCTGTCTCTAATCCAAGTCCTGCAGTAAATCCGTCACAGTAAACTCATTGAAAAAGATTTGGATTGGAGCATCTCGTAGTCTTCCCTCAGGGGAGGGCAGAAAACTACTTTATAAGTACTGCAAATATAATTTATCCTAAGGAAACATTCTTACTACCGAACGCTTCTAAACCTAGATACACAAAGAAAAAAAAAACAGACTTCTGGTTTATGACAGTGTACTGGACATTTATTAACAGCTCCCCTGTCAAAGGTTACATCTGCCTGTAAAACTCAGTGCTCATGTGTCCACAGCAAACAGCACGAAAACATCTGAATCTCTTCTTCTCTGCTCAGTTCACAGACAACGGTGACGCCGGTGGCTTGTTAACAGCAGGTTTAACAGAACCCGTCTATTCCGAGCTGAGGCCCAGATGCAGCTGTAGAGCCACCAGCCAGTTCACCGGCGGATAAATCATCAGCAAATATCGACTTTCCAAGCAAAAAATAAAGCTGGAAGCTGTTTGTTTTCAGCCAATTAGACATTTTCTGTTGGTGTCTTTGTTTTCACATTAAACATCTGGAGCCGTTTCCTTGGACTGGAACAAACAGTGACAGACTGAATGATTCAGAAAACAAATATAAACAGTTTGTTGCAGCTGTGCGGACACAGTGTCAGTGTGGCGCTCTGGGTGGAGCAGCTTCTTGTTGGTGTGGACTAATGGAGCAGCTGCCTCCAGGGAAACTGCAGACACAGAAACGTGAGCGGGCGCCGAGGCTGTGGCGTGTGCGACAGGCCACGCGCTTCATTTTCTAATTGATTTATTTATCAGGGCCCACGTACAAAAAGAGAAGATGCATCACAGTGGACCCTTGAAAGTCTGAGAGTCGCTGGTAGACACAGTATGTTCAGACAGGTTTTAGGGTTCAGCTCAGAGGAGGGTAGAAGTGTGTGTGCTGAGTCCAGCAGGAGGAGCTGTGGGTTTACTGATGCAGGAGCAGACCCACTGCTGCAGTCTGACCTCACATGCTTGTACACAGCAGCAGTGGGCGTGGTGGGCGCAGTGATTCTCTGATGGTTGCTCACCCTTGACTGCAGGAGTGAAGGCTTTATTCTTGGTTTGTTAAAGATCCAGTTGTTTAGTTTCTGCTGGGACCGGAATGTAAAACTGAGTTTGGCCTGAAGATGATGTGACGGCTGTTCTCGCTAGTAAACACCACATCTGGAAACCTCTGGCTGGCTGTGATGAGCAGAATCTGTCTGTTGTGTGAGTTACAGATGTTTGTGTTTCCATCACTGAGACGGGGTTTTGTGTTTGAGCACCTTGACACTTCCTGTTTGCCTGACACACTGACAAAGTGAAAACCTCTTCACGTGTCTATGCTCAGTCGCTGCCCAGGAAATCACATGCCTCTGTTCTGCTAAAACAGATGTGTTGAGTATTTCGGGTTTGTTCATCCGAATGAAGTATATGCAGTACTTGTTCTACTGCGCTCATTTGTCTCTTGTCACGTCGTAGGGAACGAGCGACTGGAAAATCAAACATTGATTGATTTATTTTTTTTTTTAGATATTCGTTTGCATGTCTGTTTCCACTTTAATCTCCTCCAGCATGAAAACGACCAAACTGAACGACCAGCCTGTCTGAGCCCTGACAGTCAAGACTGAGGGTTTTAAAGCTCCTCTACCTCATGTCTCTTCGGTGGGGTGGGGGGGCCTTAATACAGCTTTAATGTTCTATTTGCATCTGGTCCTGCAGGTCTCTGCCTGAAGCCGCCGATGTGGACGTGTCCCCGCTGACATCAAGCCGTGTCACAGGTGAAAGGTCACGATGACGACAGTGGCCGCCGAGTACGAACACATGGAGCTGCAGCAGCAGTACAGCAGCAATGACACGGTCAACAACCGCTGGGATGACGAATGGGACAATGAGAACAGCTCAGCCCGCCTCTTCGAACGCTCCCGCATCAAGGCACTCGCAGGTAGGTGCCAGACCACCTTAACAAAGTCCACCTTAAGGCTATCTACAGCAGCAAAGGTCTGCTGTATGAAGACAGAGACACAGGTGCACACAGCAAAGGCCGGTGAGCAATGTCATAAATGAAACAACATGGACGACAACTTCAGGTTTGTTTACAAATGTCAGTTTGTTTTAAACATGGACTTAAACAGGTGGCGGACTGATGAAACTGTTTGCACAGTTGTTGTTTTGGTGCCACGGACGTTTATTAATGTTCAGCGTCAGCTGAGGGGCAGCTGCCTGGTCGCCCAGAGGGCAGAGCTGGGGAAGCCACGGCAGCGCTGAGGTCAGGAGACGGCTGCAGCAGTCCTCTCCTTCACGTGTCAACTTGTGTCTGGATGTCAGGAACTGAAGGTGAGCACTTGGCTTTATTCAGCAGAAGAAACCCACACTTGCATCTTAACTGCACCATGAAAGCCCGTTCTGTGAGGAAATCCGACCTTAGGGAGTTGCAGCTGTCAGCCAGATGTGCACTGATCTGAGCAGGAGCCGCATCGATCGGACTCTGACCTGTGGCGGTTGTCTGTGCCCTCTGTCTGCGGCAAACCGGAGCCCAACATGCAGAAACACATTTTTAAAACTGAGACGTGTCTGACAAGGACCAGACCTGGTCCAGACTATGCTGGGCCTGCCCAGAGACACCTCTCTGTCTGAGAGCAAACCACTGCAATGTGTTCATCCCTCCTTATTGTCTGTGGAACAAATAACAGATGGATTTCTTCTTCCACGTCAGAGATCATCCAGATGGCCTTTGACCTCTGAGCCGCCTGTCAGCCGGTTGGCACAGGCAGGAGCTTATGGCTCTGTGCATGTATTATTATTGATACCATGCCCTGCACTAAATGCAGCTGTGGCCACGCGTGATCCTTCTGGGTACAGTGACAGATGAGGCCCCAGCTCAGCCGGCAGTGAAAACCTGCCGAGGAACACGATTGCTGACGGTTCCTGCAGCTGAGGGACGAGACTTCCCACTAGGCCATGTTCTTCCTGTGGTTGTTCCACTGACTGTGGAGCTGGTCAGCCATGTTTGTTGTGTACAGCAGCGTCTCCGAGTTGTCATGGTCGTTCACCTCATCAGTGTTTTTTTCTTTGCAGATGTCTCTAGAGTCAGAGAGAAGAAGGAGACTTTAACGAATCATTTGAGCACTTGGAGCTAAAGTGGGCCCAGCTATAGGGACCGTCCCTGGTTCAGGACAGTCGCTGGGTGTCAGCAGGATGTCCAGTAACTGAGTGGTTATTAGGTCCGTGTGCTGGTGGTCGCTGAGGCTCCACAGTTACTGGTGATGGTGGTTAGTGGGAGGCTCAGGGTGGAAGTAGCCAGCCATGGTCAGCAGGGGTCTAGGTGGTGTTCAGGTGATTGTCAGCACCTGTCAAAGCCAGAAACTCTCCATCACCTCCTTCCTCGTAAAATATGTGTGTGTGCATGCGTGCATGATGTTTGTGTGTGTTTTCCTTCTCAGGAATGTGAATGAACAATGTAGGGAGACCCCCCCCCACCACTTTAATTGGAAAGCTGTGATGCCATTGGCTGATTTGTGTCCCCCCCCAACACACACTCACACTACACTGTAAGAAATATCTCCTGGTCCTTTTGTCAGTCTCATTTCAAAAAACAATCCAGGACTTGTTTCCTAGAAACTTCCAGGAGACGATAAAGATGCCTGTAGGACCAAAGTGCTTGAAGAGACAAAATGATTCAGTGAAATAAAAAGCAGAATCAGGCCAATGAAAGTGGAGGGATGTGAGGACACAGCCGACAGTTTAGAGATTAAGATACTGAAATAATCAACTCACCAGAGAAAACCTTATGGAAACCAGAGTAAAACCAAGGACAACATTAGTCAGGGAGAAGCTGTACAATGGTGAACAGGCTCTTTCTTTTAAGAATTTGATCTGTTGGGTCCAAAGTCATTTGGAAAATCTAGAAGAGTTGGGAGCCACCAGGAAGTCGGCTGGCTTGGCACTAATGAGCACGCTCTGTGGATCCACAGATGCAGAAATGTGTGGAACATCTGGGTAACTTTCATAGCCAGAATCCTGAAACATGAAGAACTGACCCACACAGTGAGTTTCACAGGAAGGACGTGGAGGCCGTCTTGGGGTCAGGCTCGCCTCAAAACATCCGAGGCACTAACATGGAGGGCAGGCTGTCTTTAGTCTGAGAGACAACACCCAGGGCAAAAAAGCTTGAGAAGTACCAGCTGCTTGCTGAAGATCTGGGAGCCGGCTCTGATCTGGTCTCGTGGATTCTGGGCAGTGTTCTTGAGGACAAAAGTCAAACCTGAAATCTGCTGAAGTCTTCGACATGCAGCTAAAACAGGGATTTAGGGGAATTCTGTAGGAACATTATTTTTTACAGTGTGTTTGTGGAGGGGGTGGTGTTGAGGGAAGTGGTCACAGCAATGCAGAGGTTAAACAGGCAGCAGCAGAAGAAGCAGAGGATCCTGGAGCCGTTGCCTGGCTTTGAGGGATGGGCCGGAAATGCACCGTCGCTCCGACCTCTGGACTCTCTGTCTGGACACACGAGGACATTTCACTGTCTGCAACTCAAAATGTGCCGCAAGTTGACTTTTATTCTGGATTTCTGTCATTTAAAAACTGCCTGGATTTAAAGGTCGGTTGTCAGACCGTGGCTGTTAAATGTGACCTTTGTTCTCTGTTTGAAAGGTCTGTTTTTACCAGCATGTGGTTCTTTCTTCCAGCTCAAAATCTGCTTCGATTTCTTTGTTCTGCTGTTTATTCTTGTGACTTTGCTTAAGTTTGAGCCACTTTTTGAGAATCTGCTTTTTATTGTTTAAAGAAATCTTTTTAAAGTACAAGTTTTTATTCTTTTTTGTGGGTTGAAAAGCATCTAAAGCTCACTTTTTCAGTACATCTCACATTTGTTTTAAGAATACATTTTTTACCCTTTAACAGAAGGAACTTGTTCTTCCAGAAACTGTACTCGGGCTCTGCCTCTGTGCCGTGAAGTCACCAGTAAGTGCTGGTGAATTTCTGACTGAGGAGAAGTTGGCAGATTTATCTCGACGCGTTTCTTCTGTTTTTGGTGCAACGTTTCCATCAGTGGTAGACTGGACTGAAACTATGACATCTGATCACTGAGCTGTCGGTGCGGTAATCTGCAGCAGGTCGTACTGGTCAGGACGCGTTTCCTCTCGTGTTGGATTTATTATATTAGTAGCGAGTATCTGGGGTGGTGATGGAGGAAGAGTGGGCGTCAGCGGACCCGACTCAGCTGCAGTTCACCTACAACCAGCTGGATGGTCGATTCAAACAGCTGCAAGGTAAGAAGGAACAGAAGAAGAAGCTGTGAGTCATTGAATCGGATCCAGCAGCAGCAGCAGTTGAAGGTCAGAGGTCAGAGGCGCTACTGAAATGAAAGACAGGAAGTGGTTATGTACTGCTCAGGTTGTGATGGAGGTTTGTCTTTGTGTCTTAATCAGAGAAAAACAACTTGATTTGTTTCAGAGGTTACCAATGAGGTTTGAGACTTCCCAAGGGCCCCTTGACAAATCTAGGGGGTTACAAAATGTTTAAAGATGCAGCTGGTGATTTGTGTGTGAAAAGTGCAAGTTAGCAGAGATCACACATGTGCACAGTCGACTCGCTGTGTCGGCATCCCCCGGCAAATGTCTCTAATCCCCCTGCCAGGTGCTGCCGCAGCTTCACAACCTTCGTGGTGGTGAGAAGGCTCCAGCACCAGATGAAACCAGCAGCTCTGGGCTCATGCTCGCCATTGCTCGTGCATGCCCCACCGCTGTGGGTTTCTCAGGCTGAGACTGGGTTTATTAGACCACCTCTCCCAGCGACCAGAACCTGTCCTGTTATTGTTACTGCAGGACAAGAGGCGGCTTCACACCGAGCAAAACAGTTTCTGCTTCCACTGCTGTGGCACCTGTTGGTAACAATTTAGGGGGGGGCTAAGGGTCTGGCCCCGACATTATCACCTGATCGCTTTAATACAGTTTTTTCCTGTCATGGTGCATATGCCTGAATTATTGTTTGCTTGGTTTAATTAGCACACTGCTCTAATTACTAAAGCAGAGAAACCGACGGGGCTCCGCATCTTGTTTCTCGTGGAGGGTTAATCCAGACCCGGTCTGTTCAGGGTTTTTTTTTTTTTAGTATGAATTAGTGTAAACTTCCTGTGAGGACATGGTGAGACGGTGTCTGCTGTTTCGTCTTTAGAGTGCTTGCCCTGATGGTTTCCTCTGAGCTCAGGAGCAGGATGTCGTGACCCTCGACCTGTGGACAGAGCTCCTCCGTCCAATCACACTGTAAAACAACACTAATGCAGTGACGGTGAACTGTCAAACTATTGTGCATCAGCAGTTGAAACACAGAACCACAGAAATGTATAAAACTGAAGACCTGGTGTGCTCAGTAGCTGAGCCCTCAGATCAGTAATCAGTCAGTGGGCAGAGCTGGGAGCTACCTGATGGCAGGTCAAAGTCTCCCAGGTAGCGCCACACAGGGCTGTAAAGGTGTCTGGCAGGTGAGCTCATCAGACAGGAAGAAGGAATTAAAGCTTTGAGTGAATGCAGAAGAAAATGCAGAACATTTAAATTAAAAGCAGAAAGCCTGCATCAGAATGAGTTTTTAGTATTAGTGTCACCAGTCTGTTAAAATCATGTCAGACTGGGAGGACCGGCCGCTGATCGGCTTTATGGTGCTGAAGGCATTCACACCCTCCTGTTTCCTGTGGGACAAAGGTCAAGCACCATAGAAGGAATATCCCCATTCTCCTAACTGCATCCACTCACTTGCATCTTAGTCCCACCCACTTAAGATATGAGGAAAAGATGCAAGGAGAAACCGTGAGAAGAGAGGAACGTTTGAACAGACAGGAGACATCGTTTCCTCAATCCATATTGGAAGCGTTCAATCACAAACCCATTTCCAATAAAAGGAGCGTGTCGATCTGTGAAGGATGCACTTGTGTATCCTTGGTTATAGCTCCTCCAGTGGCCTCCTTGGTTTTTAGAACAGAAATAAGAACTTTGGGGCGTCTGTCGGCGTAGCGGACTGGAACGACTTCCGGGTTGAACGAGGACAGAGAAATGATAAATGATGGTATTCACATAGCGTCTCCTAATGCTAATCCAGAATGTGAAACTCTTCGTCCTCCTCGGAGTCCCGACCCAGAATGTAGGTTTTATGACAGATATTCCAAAAAATACGCTCGGGACATAAGGGGTTAGCTAGATAAAAATAACCTGCTGCTGCTTGAATTCACAGACCTCCACACTAACAGGCCGCAGTTAAACATGTCTCCATTTCATTTTACTCAGCTGTTGTGTTGTTTTCATCTAGAAGCTGCACTGGGGTTTGGGGGTTTGAGTGTGTCCTCCATGACCCTGGTCAGTCTCCATCAGGGTTCCTCCAACACCTGCTGACATATCCCACATCTGTGTGTGTTCAGATGAGCGCGAGGCCGTGCAGAAGAAGACCTTCACCAAATGGGTCAACTCTCACCTGTCCAGGGTCTCCTGCAGGATCACAGACCTCTACACGGACCTGAGGGATGGACGCATGCTCATCAAGCTGCTGGAGGTCCTGTCCGGAGAGAGACTGGTAACACACTAAGTACACACAAACGCAGTACACACCTGTCAGAACAGGGACTGGTTAAGTAATAAAGTGCTAGTAGTAAATACAAACAGGCTAATAGTTTGGCCCACGTGTATCAGATCAGAGAACTTCCACTTTGTCTGGTTAAACTCACCTCTGTCCTGGTCAGATGTAAATCTGGGTCAGTCTGCTGATGAAGACTTTCACTTTACTTCATGGGTGTGTGATAGACGGTGCTCACTGGCCGTACTGGAAACCTCAATCATAAAAGAGAGCTGAGTAAAACCGCTGAGCAGCTCAGGTGAGTGGTGTGGGTGTTTAATCCACAAAGGTCTGTGATCGGTAAAACCTTCACAGAGTCCAGAAAACACCAGTCAGTCGCACAAGACACAAGTGAAACTGGAAAACAGTTCTGGTCTTTACGTTGAAGGGACTGGACACTAGTGATGGCAATACATGAGTCGAGCCAGGAGAGGGATCTCCCGCGAACCACTGCCTCGAGGCTTGTATTGTTGCCGAAAAGACACGTGACTGATGACGTCCGACACAGAAACTGCTGGCCTGAGTGACTCCCGTGACCAGTTCAGACCGTCGATACGGTGTCATGACGTGAGATCTTGCTGCGTGCGTCAGCAGGGGCATAGGCGTAGGGATACTATAAAGCCACCTGAGATGTTGCGCAACATCTGGGTTTGTCGGCGTAGTAGGTGTGTGCCTAGTTGCTGTCATTGATCATTGCTGCAGGTGTGTGATCACCATGGAGCCAGCTAGGAATAACAACGATTGATTCCCCATCCCTTGTATTTATTCACACCCTGTCCTAGTTACATTCGCACATATTACCATCCGAGCACATCCTCTGATTCCCCAAGCACGCCTTCTCCCACCTACTACACTACATACGTTCATAGGCTGGACTGACTGACCAATCAATCTTTACAAACGTTTTCACATCATTCACACAAACCCTAGTTACACCCATCACATAATTCAGACATTGTTCTGCTGCATACTATTTCGCCACCAGATGGCACTAAACCGAACCTTTGAATGAATGAACCAATACTCGATGCTGATGATGAAGTGGTTCGATACAGGTGTCATGGTGTTAATTGGACATCACTAGTGGACGCCATCTTTGAGTCTCGTATATGGGTCTCACGATGCTACACCTACAGTAGCTAACTGCTAACACGAGCATATGGCAGAACTACAAGCAGAGGCTGATGGGTAATGTAGTCATGTAATGTAGCTAACAGCTCATGCAGTAGGCACTGCAGCCACTCCGCCCTCTGGGAAGCACAACCTCTGACACGGTACTAAGAGGCCATCTGGTCACAGATTAACTCAAATGTTTACACCAGTCGCTCATTCTTCATCCATTTGTAGTAGTAGTAGCTGCTTAGCTGTGTTGTAGGGGGTAAGATTTATAATACAACCAGTTTATATTAAGTGAACCTCCACACTGTACATCTTATAGCTTATAATCATGGGTGTGACATCAAAACACGACCATATTCGTCGCCAAGGCAATACTGTCTTCCGATAGTGTCTCGCATACACATTTTAGCCTACTGTAAGGCACGTAGGCAATTTGGGACGCACCCAGGGGGAGTGCTGGCTGCGGCTCTGATCTTGTGCTGGTGTCTGCATCCATCTTAAAATATAAAACATGTTGGAGGTTGCGTCAGTCAGGCTGGAGCTGGTAGAGTCGTTTGGCCTTGATTCTGGATTCAGTGTTTCTGATAAGATATCTGAGCGCTGGCTGTGGTCCAGCTGCTGCCCCCTCCACCCCCTTCCTGGAAACCAAGGACACTTCACTGTTCATGCATTTCCTGTGCTGTGCTCAGGAAAGACGGCAGCTTTGCTCCACATCCTGTATTTTTTTAAATCTGTGGTCAAAACAGTGAGGGGATGGACTGAGGAGGCTAAGTCAGAGCTACAGGCCTGCTTTGACTGCACAGACTGGAGAGTATCTGAGGCTGCAGCTACAGACCTGGACGAACGAACTGACACTGTCACATCCTACATCAGCTTTGTGAGGACGTGTGTGTGTTTCCACAAAGTCCTTCTGCACATACAACAACAACAAGTGGTTCACAGTGAAACTCGAGCAGCTTTGTCGTGCCGAAGAGGAGGCTTACAGATGTGGGGACATGACTCTGTAAGCCAGGAACACAATGACGAGATCTGAGCAGCAAAGAGGAGCTACTCTGAAAAGCTGAGAAACCAGGTTTCAGCCAGCGACTCCTCGTCTGTGTGGAGAAGCCTGAAAACACCACTGGCTATAGAAAACCAAATTTACAATTTTACAACATACTGAACCTGAACACATACAATGTACAGAAAATCCATTCACAAAATAAAAACAATGGATTTTTAGGAAGAACTGCTACATGTCTCTTTCACCTCATTCCTTTTGTCCTTAAATCCTTCAATAGACATGAATGTGTCTTTCTCTTTGCAAGTTGTTTCATGACCAAGGTGCATAGTAAGAAAATGCAGTTTTCCCCAGATCTGTGAAAATTTGAGGCACATTAAAAAGTAATCAGTTGAAAGAGCGCAGCTAGTAGCCACCAGAGCTGAGGTAGAAAACCAAACCAAAGCTGAGTTTGTATGATGGCACCGGGGTTTTGCAGGGTTGATTAGGTTTTTAAGACTCATTGTTGTCTTGGCTGCTGCTGTCTTTACTGAGCTCAAACCTCTTTAAGTCTGATTCAGTGTCGCTGTTGTTTCTTGACCTCTGTTTTTCTGTCTCCAGCCGAAGCCCACCAAAGGCCGGATGCGGATCCACTGTCTGGAGAATGTGGACAAGGCTCTGCAATTCCTCAAGGAGCAACGGGTTCATCTGGAGAATATGGGGTCCCATGATATCGTGGATGGAAACCACCGACTGACTCTGGGCCTCATCTGGACCATCATCCTCCGCTTCCAGGTAACAACCAGATGAACGTCTGGGAGGACCTGAACCCATCGGGCCAGGTGTGATTACCTGCCTGAAGTGTACCTACATGAATGTGACCTAAATGCACTGAAACCTGTTTGACTGAAGAGCATCAGAGTTTGTGTCCCGGTCAGATTTTGGTCCTAAGAGCCACCAGAACCTGTGTCAGACCTCGTCACTTAAGAGTTTTGATGATGCGGTTCTCGTTAAAGGAACACATTATTCCCGGTTTCGGTTCTGGAGGACAACAGCAAGTTAAATTAATTAGTGCTTTTACTGAGTAATTAGAAAAAAAATTGTACCGCTGTTGCTAAGGGAAAGCTGGTGATTTTTTTTTCTCTGAATAAAATCCCAACTGATCCTGATTAGCCTAGCTTAGCACAACATCTAGTGTACATTACCTAAAACTAATCTTTTATAGAGGCCGTAGGGGCTCAAGTCTAAGAAGATGTTTTCCAACAGCATGAAGTTTTTCAAGTGTAATATCCAGAAAAAAATTATATCAAATAAAATTGTGTACACGGCTCCAGTGTGAACACCGCTGAGCTCCTAAACTGCCACACATGCACAAATGTAACTGAAATGTGAGCCACGTGCACACAAGAATAACAACCAGGTGGTGTGTGTGACGGTCAAATGGCCCAGTTTCCTCCCAAACCACTGGGTTACGATATGTTCCTTCCAGTTTGTCCTGATCAGAAGCTTCTCCATAAATGTCCACCACATGTGAAACGTCCTGGTCTCTCCACTGACCCCGTCGCTGTCCTCCATGTTTACTGTTACCAGTCTGTGAGGGGCCGACGCCGAATGATGACGACAGGCCATTTGTGCAGAGGAGGAGACATTAAAACGACCACATGGATTCTGATCTGACCTTTCTGACAGCACTGCACAGTCAGAGGTCGGAGAGGAATCGGGTCTAGGAGCACATACACAGGTGGCCCAGATCTGGTCTGAGGACATCTGGACTGGTCTGTTCACACTGCTGTGGACACATCAGGTCTGGGAAATGTCAGGTCTGGGACGTGGACAGAGCTTAAATGTGCCTAATGCTTTCTGACAATGCTTATTTATGACATCAAACATCTCGACGGACATTTTAGGAAATACAGTATAAATACTGCAACATTTTGTCAGGATGCAGCAACATAACAAGGCATATATCCACACAGAGAACAAAATAAAAATAAAGCAGACATACAACCCAGGTGCATGTTTGTAAAATTGGTCTAATCACCGAGTATTGTCCAGCTACTGCAGAGCGGACACAACTCAGACCAGCATCCTCACTATCACTTATTTACCTACTCAGGTTAAAGTCCAGACTCCTTCACAATTTACTGGTGGCACACAGTCGTCATGGAAACCCAGTCCAACTCCTGCTTCGACCTGTAACCTCTGGGATTTCCCCGTTGAGCTCTTACAGCTTCAAAGTGTCTGAACATCTGGCCAGTCGGCTCTTACCCGCCTGCTGAAATCACCCAATCAGAGCTGCTGTCAGGCGAAATAAAATTGGACACACCAACTTAGTCACAGAGTTTCTCATGAGCTGCTGTAGCCGCCATGTTGGTACACAGATGCCTCGTGATGCGTGTATGTGTGTGAAGGCAGGAGTCCGTCCACAGTTAATGTCATCATGACTCAGCTGTTTGGTTTGTTACAAATGTTCAAAATGTATTTGGTTAAACACTTTGTAATTAGTTTCAAGATTCGAGATTTTTATTTGCCCTTTATGCATAAACAGTCTAGGCATATAGGAATTCTTGTGCAGGGCTCTCCTGGAGTCAAGTAAAGAGTTTAAAGCCAAAAGAACAAACATCTAGTCTAAATATAAAATTACCCAAGAATTAAAAAAAAAATTATCAAACTGTGGATACAAGAGTGCTTTATATGTTTTATATTAATATGTTTTCCTGTTTAGTATTGTGACATCTCAACACACAAACAATTAGTGACTTGTATATCACATAGTGACGCACACCCTTAGAGAATCCAGTCTGCAAACAAACCTTTGACAAAGTGTATGTCGTCAACCACAGCTAGCAACTTTAACTAAACTGATTCTTTTCCAATCAGCAAAAGAGGATGATGCACCTTGAAGCTTCAGGACCACGTGGTCACTCCAGAGAGGAGCTTTGAGAAATCAGAGCTAAGCTGTAAAAACTCTTATCTGACACACAAATGCGCGAAGCAGCCAGCGTTCACTGGATCAGCATCTGTCAACAAAGCAATGCAATCAGGTCACTGTAGGTTTCGGTGTGTACAAGAGCTTGTTTTCAGTTTGCCGCTGTGTGACCTGGTGTCTGTTCTTCCCACTGCCCTAATAAATCTGGGAGGGGTTCTTCCTGAAGTCTATTATTATTTCTTTTGTCTTGTTTATGTTGAGGATGAGGTCATTCTCCTCTCCATAAATGAGGATGTTGTTCACCAAGCTTCTGTAGCCCGACTCGTCTCCCCCCTTGATGAGGCCCAGAATGGTGGTGTCATCAGCATATTTAATGAGGATGATGATTGTGTCATGGTTGGAGACACAGTCGTGGGTGTTCAGGGTGAAGAGTTTGGGGCTGAGACAGCAGCCCTGCAGTGAACCTGTGCTGGTTGTGAGCTCAGAAGACACCCGCCCTCCCATTCTGACCACCTGTGGTTTATTCTGTTGTACTGCAGTGTAAAACGGCTGTCATCGTATCAATTTGATCATTATTTTGGAAATAAATACAAACTTAGGTAATAAAAGATATAGTAGCGAATGGTACAATAAAAAGACTAAGGCCATTCTTCTCAAGTCTCAGTGTTCCCTTGTAAACCTCAGACCGCTGGAGGTGTGACTCTGGTGTGTTTGATTTACAGATCCAGGACATCAGCGTGGAGACTGAGGACAACAAAGAGAAAAGATCGGCCAAAGATGCTCTGCTGCTCTGGTGTCAGATGAAGACTGCGGGGTGAGACAAACACCGGCGCTGCCCTGATGCTGCTGCTGTTCTCAACAGACCTGCACTTTTAGGAGCGACAGATCCAGAAACGGGTCCAGGCTCGGCTAAATAACGCATTGACATCTAAGATGTTTGTGTTTTCCTCAGGTATCCAAATGTAAACATCCACAACTTCACCACCAGCTGGAGAGACGGCATGGCCTTCAACGCCCTCATCCACAAACACAGGTAACATTGTCAACGTGGTGATGTTCAGATGATCTGGGTTATTGTCCGATGGCTTGGCTGCCTGTTGTTTAAAACCAGTTTGTTTTCAGGCCCGACTTGATCGACTTTGACAAGCTGAAGAAGTCCAATGCTCACTACAACCTGCAGAATGCCTTTAACCTGGCAGAGCAGCACCTGGGACTCACCAAGCTGCTGGACCCAGAGGGTAAGCCTGGCGAGACGTGTCTTCCACTGCTCTCATGTCCACCAACCAGTGTTTCTTTTCAGAGGACGTCTTCACACGTGGTGACAGAGTTCAATGTTATGAACGTTAGGCCATGAACTCGGGAAGAAATGATGTGATTTGTCAACAGCTTCAGCATATAACGCACTATGTCAGATCTCAGGTTTCAGAGGCGGTGGCAGAATCGTCCTGTAGTTCACAGACAAGCTCTCCTGAACAACATTGACGAGCGTTTAAACATTAATTTGTCAAATGTGAGTGTGAAAATCAGTAGTTTTAGTACGTTTCATTGCTTCTGTCTGGCTCTTTTTCTTTACAAGCGTATTTGGTGGTGCCCAGAAGTACCACATTAGCTGCTGCTGTGTGGGCTGGTCGTCGCATAGGTTTTGCTGGTTCGGTCTGCCGGTCTCAGACCTGACCCAAAACCCACCCAAACTCAATGTGCAGAAATTAATTTCCAAAAAAGAGGCTTGATCTGATGAGGACCTGAGCCTAGCCGGCCCTGACCCCAATAGAGCTGAGAATAGCTGGACATGATCCAGACCTAGAGAGAACATGAGCAGCAGGATGATCAATTGGTTAAGTCAGTCAACGAGCAAACAGCTGTGGTGGAAAAGAGCAGCAGTACAATAACAATCGTGTCCTCCGAACAAATGTAAAGTCAAAGAAATTAAAACTGTTTCTTTATATTCCTCAAAGACAGAGTTGTTATAAGTACAGTCCTGTTTCCAGCTTGTACAGCAGCAGTACAACAAGCTGTAGCAAACGGGCCGAATAAAGACAAAAGGCAAATTCAAACTGTTTAAAATCTGTGAATCTGACTCAGACTCTGGCTGAACACCTGAAATCCTAAAACAAGCTTCAATTCCTGTCAGAACAAAGCTGTGAAGTTCTGGTTCTCTGTCTTGTCATAAAACACACCTGATACCACCTGCACTCAGGTCCGTTCAGATCCACTCAGGTCTCAGGCACTCGACCCGATCAGACCGGTTCCTCAGAGCCTGGTGAAGACCCCTAGTTTGATCCTCAGCTCCTCCAGTCGTAGAGCAACACACTGAACCCCAAACTGCTGCTGATGCAGCTGTTAAGAAAACAGACCAAATAGTTTTGGACCAAAGTGCTGTCAACCTGAATGTGATGTAAAGTTTCTCTGCAGTCTGTTAAATGGAGCAGTGAGATCGATATAAGCACAGCTGAATCGACGGTGTCTCACTGTTTGTGTTGTAGATATCAGCGTGGACCATCCCGATGAGAAGTCGGTCATCACCTACGTGGTGACGTATTACCACTACTTCTCCAAGATGAAGGCTCTGAAGGTGGAGGGCAAACGTATTGGAAAGGTCAGTAACAAACAGACCCATTTACCTCTGAGATGATTAGAGTCCAGATGTCTGCAGTAGCCTGCAGGTGACATGGTATTAAGGTGAAAGTTTTACACAGCGATTTCTGATGAAGATGAAAGGAGACGTGTCTGTTGTCGTGTCCAGGTGCTGGACAACGCCATTGAGACGGAGAAGATGATTGAGAAGTACGAGTCTTTGGCCTCAGACCTGCTCGAGTGGATCGAGCAGACAATCATCATCCTGACGATTCCCAAACTCCCTGAGGGAGATGCAGGCACTGATGACGGCTTTCAAGACCTACAGAACTGTGGAGAAACCTCCAAAGTGAGAACATCTTCCCTCATGTAGCTCCTCCACTGTCACCCTTGTAGTCAGCACCGTCAGCGCTGCAGCAAACAGCTCAGAGCTTAGATCTCAAATGTAATCGGTTAATGCATTCATAGGTTTCCTACTGCTCATCAGGATCTAGGTTGTTTTATCATCAGACAGGTTGTGGCGGTGACGATTTAAATGCGCACTGCATGTGTGACATCAGCAGTGTGAGTCTGACGCAGTGCTCAAAGTGGAGCTGCTTCCCTCACGCCATCTGTGGCTGAGTGCAGAGGCACGTTGGCCAAACAACAGGCGGGTTCCAGTTTGGCCTGAAGCTCCTCATAGCGTTAACCTTAACGACAGCTCAGCCGGCCGTCATGAGGAGGGCAGCTGTAGCAGGCTGAGGGGACAGGGCACAGTGAAGGCAGGGATGTGATCTGGTCCACGACTGTGTGCTTGGATCTGATGCACACTGGCCCCTGCTGGCTCTCCATCATATTTTGGCTGTGTGATGGTAAAACAGGTACTAAATGTCCTTCTGTGCAGTATCCAGAAAGTCTGAAAAGAAGGTCTTACATTTGACTCCATGAACCTGCAGAGTCTACACGCAGCCAGAACGTTCATGTGAGCAGGAACCACACTTACCAGCTGACAGCAGGGAATCTGGGGACTGATGTACATAATGGGTTTGGATAAAATTTCCATTTAATGCATCTGAAATTTACATGATTGAATTAAATCTCCAACACAAAGTGTGCAGAAAGTGAAGGGGTCTGACCACAGGATACTCCATTGTACAGCCACTAGACCGTGTTCCTCATCATCAGGGTCACCTCCTCCCATTCCTTATTGAGCTACCTCCAACTCTCTCTGCACGTCCTTCTCGGACTCCTTGGCGCTCTCTCATGCTCTCATGTTTGTTCAGGTTCACAGAGAAGGGAAACCTGGAGGTTCTGCTCTTCACCATCCAGAGTAAGATGCGAGCCAACAACCAGAAGGTGTACATGCCCCGAGAGGGAAAACTCATCTCAGATATCAACAAGGTCAGAGCTACTGAGGTTTAACTCCTCATGAACACTGTGGGTTTCAGTAACTACGGGACACATCAAACACGTTACTGATTTTATTTTATCAGATAAAATGTAGGAAACATTCAGGCAGCAGCTTTAGTGTTGCTCGTTGACTGCAGCTGAAGTCCAAAATGAATGTGCCGGTTTTCTCAACGTGTCAGATACATATGTAACCAAGATTTAACATCTGTTGCTCGATTCGGTCATAAAACAACAGGCACATTAGCCCACATAGCCACAGGGAGTCGAGGTTACTTAGGCCACCAGCTGGTTTTAACTAAATCTCTGCTGCAGTATTTTTGACTTTAAATCTCACTAACAGTGAAAGCTCAACTTATTTACACTTGAGAAGAGATTCAGATAGATTCAGGGTCAGTCAATATATTTGATGATGAGCTCAAACTAAATAAAATCCTTTGGCCCGTGGAGCCTGAGGCTAGCTGGATTTGACACTTTGGCTCTTGGACGTCTTCACCCAGCAGCAGCGTTGATGTAAATGCTGCTGCCTCACAGCCCATAATATGATTAACACCCTGTGATGCTGATGTCATGTCTGTCCCATCAGGCATGGGAGCGACTGGAGAAGGCGGAACATGAGAGGGAGCTGGCTCTGCGGATGGAGCTGATTCGTCAGGAGAAACTGGAGCAGCTGGCCAGACGCTTTGACCGCAAGGCGGCCATGAGAGAGACCTGGCTCAGCGAAAACCAGAGACTGGTGTCACAGGTAGGACAAGGCAGAGTCAGCAGCACCTGGTGTGTGTCTGTGCTGGTATCAGCTGCACCTGAAGGGAAACTACATGGTGTTCTGCTGCAGCATACTAAAGCCTCCTAGCTAACGTCTCCACCTCATACGGACACGTGGGCACACATCTGGAGTTGCAGCGGGTTGAACAAAACGTTCCCTAAAGTCCGTATCTGGTCAACTGCAGTGCATGAAACAACTACAGAAGGAACGGCAGAAATTTCAGTAAATCATCCATCCACTAGAATAAAACAGAGTTTTTGTTGCTCTTTTCACTTTTAACCATAAACATAAATAAGAAGGTAATGTAAACATTTTCTTGGTGTTTTGCTGTGGACAGTGGGAACATGGCGTCACTACAGTTCCAGTGATGGTTGAAACACTGTCAGGTGCTGAGCGTGGACTCACGTGTCCGGTCAGACTCATGGTCCTCGCAGCTTAGACTCTGTTGATTGGTCTATTCAAATCAACATTTTCCCAGTGTTAGACAGTTTCAGAAAGGTCAACGTTTGACAACTTTGGAGAACAGTTTGTGTCAAAAAGTTTTTATGTATTAAGTTTCTGAAAAACAAACTGATGTTTCACTCTTGGTCGTGAGACCCGGGTGCTGTATCTGCACTTTGATCCAAAAATGTAAAACAACACCCAGACTGTTATGTGTGACTCTCTGAAAGTGAGGTCTTTCTTTCAGTGCTGCCTCCTTTCTGTCTACAGGACAACTTTGGGTTTGATCTTCAGGCTGTCGAGGCTGCCACCAAGAAGCACGAAGCGATTGAGACTGACATTGCAGCGTATGAGGAGCGTGTCCAGGCTGTGGTCGCTGTGGCGAAGGAACTGGAGGTGGAGCGTTACCATGACATCAAGCGTATCGCGGCCCGGAAGGACAATGTGATCAGACTGTGGGAGTACCTGCTGGAGCTGCTGAAGGCCCGCAGACAGAGGCTGGAGGTTAACCTGGGCCTGCAGAGAGTCTTCCAGGAGATGCTCTACATCATGGACTGGATGGATGAGATGAAGGTACACTGATGAGATGGACGTTAGTAGTGCAACAAATCCTGCCCTTGTATGGCAGATTTTAGGTTGAGATGTGCAGTAGGACATCAGTATCTGTGTGCATCCAGTTCAGATATAGGTCAAGGACTTGTTCAAATTTAAGACCAACAACAGGGGGGAGCTGTTAAAATCCTTGTAGTGATAGGAAGCTGACTGCCGATGTCCCTGGTCCTCTCTGTTTGTCTGTCCAGATGTTGCTGCTCTCTCAAGATTATGGGAAGCATCTGTTGGGTGTGGAGGACCTGTTGCAGAAACACGCTCTGGTGGAGGCTGACATCGCCATCCAGGCTGACAGGGTGAAGGCAGTCACTGCCAACGCCAACAAGTACTTCATCAGCGACACTGGTGGGCAGTGCACAATACCAGTTGTCCCTCAGTTGAAAAGTTGTGTTTTGGCTGAATTGTTCGATGTATAATTTATTCTGTTCATCACAAACAATTCCAACATGGGCTCCAGGAGGGCTGTGAATGGGGACCCTAGTGATGCTGTTTACTTTGAGGCCAACCAAAGAAAGCATCTTGTTCTATGGTGGTTTGTGAGCAGCAGTCTACAGTCTAGTTCAGTTCAAACTTGGAAATGTAGGCAGAAATTGTTAAGTGTTGATAATGGTCTTTTGTCCAGGCTACAAGCCCTGTGACCCTCAGGTCATCCGGGACCGGGTGGCCCACCTGGAGTTCTGCTACCAGGAGCTGACCCAGCTGGCCGCAGAGCGCCGGGCCCGCCTAGAGGAGTCCCGCCGCCTCTGGAAGTTCTTCTGGGAGATGGCGGAGGAAGAGGGCTGGATTCGTGAGAAGGAGCAGATCTTGTCCTCTCTGGAACATGGCAAAGACCTGACGGGAGCGCTGCGCCTCCTCAGCCAGCAACGAGCCCTAGAGGACGAGATGAGCGGTCGTGCTGGCCACCTCCAGCACACCATCGCAGAGGGCCAAGCCATGGTGCAGGCCGGCCACTTTGGTGCCACTAAGATCCTGGAGCGAATCACTGACCTGCAGGCTCAGTGGGCGGCGCTGGAGCAGCTGGCAGCGGCGAGGAAGAAGAGACTGGAGGAGGCTCTGGCTCTACACCAGTTCCAGGCTGATGCAGATGATGTTGACGCCTGGATATTTGACGCCCTGCGCATTGTTTCCAGCGGAGAGACAGGCCATGATGAGTTCTCCACCCAGGCTCTGGTCAGGAAGCACAAGGATGCAGCGGCAGAGGTGGCCAGCTACAGACCGGTCATTGACTCACTCCATGAACAGGCTGCCTCCCTACCCAAAGAGGAGGCGGAGTCGGAGGAAGTGCGTGGTCGACTGGTGGGTATTGAGGAGCGCTACAAAGAGGTGGCTGAGCTGACAAAGCTGAGGAAGCAGGCACTGCAGGATGCTCTGGCTCTCTACAAGATGTTCAGTGAGGCCGATGCCTGCGAGGTTTGGATCGATGAGAAGGAGCAGTGGCTGAACAGCATGGAGATCCCAGAAAGACTGGAGGACCTGGAAGTTATACAGCACAGGTAGGGCTCAGGGTTTGTGATTGTGCATCTCTTTTAGCTAGCACTGTATTGATGTGGACTGTGTCCTTGGCAGGTTTGAGAGTCTGGAGCCAGAGATGAATAACCAGGCCTCTCGTGTTGCCGTAGTGAATCAGATCGCCCGGCAGCTGATGCACAGTGGTCACCCGAGCGAGAAGGACATCAAGACCCAGCAGGACAAACTCAACAACAGGTACAAATAATAGACTGTGACAGGTGACAGATTCAGTTTATCCACTGTGGAAACACTTTGAAACTGTAGGTGTGATTGGACATGTAGACAGTGATGATCCCCTCCTCTGCCACCAGGTGGAGCCAGTTCCGTGACCTGGTGGACCAGAAGAAGGAGTGCCTGAACTCAGCTCTGGGTGTGCAGAACTACCACCTCGACTGCAATGAGACCAAGTCCTGGATCAAAGAGAAGACCAAAGTCATAGAGTCCACCCAAGAGCTGGGCAATGACCTCACCGGGGTCATGGCCTTGCAGCGCAAACTGACGGGTATGGAGCGCGACCTGGCTGCCATTGAGGACAAACTTGTAGACCTTCGAAGCGAGGCAGAGCGGCTAGCAGAGGAACACCCTGATCAGGCTAAGGCCATTACAGGCCGCCTGGCTGAGATCACTGCCGTCTGGGAGGAAATGAAGAACACTTTGAAGAACCGTGAGGAGTCTCTAGGTGAGGCCAGGAAGCTGCAGCAGTTCTTGCGTGAGCTGGATGACTTCCAGTCCTGGTTGTCCCGCACTCAGACAGCCATCGCATCTGAGGACATGCCCAACACCCTGGCTGAGGCCGAGAAGCTCATGGCCCAACATGAAGGCATCAAGAATGAGATCCAGAACTATGAGGAGGACTACCAGAAGATGCGGGACATGGGGGAGATGGTGACCCAGGGCCAAACAGATGCACAGTACATGTTTCTGCGGCAGAGGCTGCAGGCACTCGACACTGGCTGGAATGAGCTGCACAAGATGTGGGAGAACCGACAGAACCTGCTGTCCCAGTCCCACGCTTACCAGCTGTTCCTCAGGGACACCAAGCAAGCCGAGGCCTTCCTCAACAACCAGGTAAATTCACTGCAATGTGTTGCCTTTTACACCTGTAACTCCAGGTGTGTGACCCCCATGTCCCGCAGCATGGTTTTTCCCACACTAGTAACACCGAGCATTTTTAACTGAGCAAAAATGCTTTTTCTTGGTTTCTGTGGATATTCATGGTCCTCAGAGGATGAAACTGATTATTTTTTACGAGCACCTGGTTTTACTTGTTGTACGGCCATCAGCACAACATATCAGCCTACAAATTATGGATCTCATCATCCAATGGGATAGTTGGCACATTGTCCTCATTCCATTCCTACACCCCACAGGTTTAACCCTTTAAACTACCTGTATCAGTACTGAACCCCATGACTCTGTCCTGCAGGAGTATGTCCTTGCTCACACCGAGATGCCCACCACTCTGGAGGGTGCTGAGGCCGCCATCAAGAAGCAAGAGGACTTCATGACCACCATGGATGCCAATGAGGACAAGATCAATGGTGTGGTGGAGGCTGGCAGGCGGCTGGCAAGCGACGGAAACATCAATGGTGAACGCATCCAGGAAAGAGTCACCTCCATCGACGACAGGTAGACCTCAGCTTCAGTCTACATTTCAGACATCTGAGAGCCTGTTTGACAAAACAGCCTCCCTGCAAAGTTGGTTTAGTTGGATTTTCCCACCTCTAACTGAAATGTAGCGTTTCCATGATCTTGACCTTGGAAGCAGCAGTGGAGAAATGGGGCGAGCTGGGCAGGCTACCATCTGCTGGTGACAAACTCCAGAACCACTACATAGATGGACATTGTAGTGAAGCTGGTCAGATATTAACTGTCTCCTCATCTCCTGGGTTCTTTAAAAGTGACTGTTGTGTTCTTAGTCTTTGTCAGTGTCGTCAGCATTATGTTTTACAGGAGAAGTTGTATTTATGAGTAGTAACAGTAGTAACAGATAATGAAAGTTCAGTCAGGACACAGCTTTCTTGATGTGTTGCTCTTGTTCTATGTTTCAGACACAGGAAGAACAGGGAGGCAGCAGTGGAGCTGCTGATGAGACTGAAGGACAACAGAGACCTGCAGAAGTTCCTGCAGGACTGTCAGGAGGTCGGTCACTATAGTGGACATTGGTGTGGTGTCAAGAATCTTGTTTGTTTAATGACTGATTTCCTTTAGAGATGGCACATAAAGTCTGGTGAGGTGGGTCGTCCGTCCGACATTTTGGTCCAGAGACAGATGGTAATGTCCTAACCGTACTTCTGCTCTTCAGAGGATGACCCCTGACAAGCTGTTTGTGTTGTTTGTGTGCAGCTGTCTCTGTGGATCAATGAGAAGATGCTCACAGCTCAGGACATGACCTACGATGAGGCCAGGAACCTGCACAGCAAGTGGCTGAAGCACCAGGCCTTCATGGCTGAACTGCAGTCCAACAAAGAGTGGCTAGACAAGATCCAGAAGGTACAGATTCCTCCCTCCCTGCAGTTTCAAAGCACATTGCACTGCACCTGTGTATGAAATGTGCTATGTAAACAAAGGCCTTGGCTTACTGCAAGATGACCCTCTGTTCCAGTTAATGAATTCAAGGTGCAGAAGAGTAAAGGGACCTCTACCTTAAAGTTCCCATGGCTGCTCATTTTGCTCGTCTCCAGCCATTTAATGTTTAATCTTGGGTACCTCTAGGTTAGCTTGGCACCCTCATAACTCCAAATAGTTTGTAATTGTTTCAGAATCAGAGAGCCAGAGAGTCTCTTCCTTAAAACGAGCGGATAGTTTATGAATGCGTACAGTTCCTGTTGCCAGTGACGCAAGTTCCTCTCAACGTATCATGGTAGTGTGTCCTGCACTCTGTGGCCTGAAAGGTGCAACACACCAGGTACTCATTTCCAGGTCCAGACCCGGGTCCATTGAGGCACCACGGCTCAGCGACTTCACTCTGACGCTGTCTATCTGTCTTCAGGACGGCGTGCTGCTGGTGTCTGAGAAGCCAGAGACGGAGGCGGTGGTGAAAGAGAAGCTGTCGATGCTCCGCGTCATGTGGGAGGAGCTGGAGTCTACAACGCAGACCAAAGCTCAGTGTCTGTTTGACGCCAACAAGGCCGAGCTGTTCACACAGAGCTGCGCCGACCTCGACAAGTGGCTGGGCGGCCTCGAGGGCCAGATCCAGTCTGATGACTACGGCAAAGACCTGACCTCCGTCAACATCCTGCTCAAGAAACAACAGGTACTACTGCAGTGGCAGAAGAAGTGGTGGAAAATAGCTAAGTTACTAGTACTTATTTGAGTGTTTTCCATTGTCTGGTACGTTATACTATATACTTCACTACGTTTACCTGACAGGTGTGGCCACCGGTTATGTTGCAGATTCAGAGTTTACCCAAAACATGAAATGTTATGTAAATTGTGTAACTGTACAGCATAAAGTACTGATTTGTACTCATGCTTAGGCTATAACTATTACCTGTGGTATGTACAGTTGTTTTTGGCGGCCTGTTTAAATTTTAGTTTTAGTCTAGTCTTTGTGTGAAGCTGTCATTTTAGTTTTTATTAGTTTTAGTCACATTCATACTCTTTTTAGTCTAGTCTAGTTTTAGTCAAATAAAAGTCTGAGCATTTTAGTTTTTTAGTCAGAATTATCCATGACTATTTTCATCTAGTTTTAGTCAACGAAAACTGATGACATTTAGTCTAGTTTTAGTCAATGAAAATTGTATTTTAGTCTCTTTAGTAATGCAATTCTATTTAACCCAGTCAATATAGTATAAGTACCTAGTAGTATAGATAAAACCAAAATTTTCTTTTAGCCAAACCCATTTCAAACAAGGTTATCTTATTATCAAAAATCAAATCAAATTAAATTTTATTTGTATAGCGCCAAATCACAACAAAAGTCATCTCAGGACACTTTACAAAGTAAGGTCTAGACCTTACTGTTATCAATATTATCAATATTATTACATAGGGAAAACCCAACAAATCCCCCTTGAGCAAGCACTTGGTGACAGAGGGGAGGAAAAACTCCCTTTAACGGAAGAAACCTCCGACAGACCCCGGCTCTTGGTGGGCGGCCTTCTGCCTCGACCGGATGGGGTGA